CTTTAAGGTATATTTAATTTTAGTAAGCTTGTAGCAATAAGATCTTTGGCACTTAAGGGACTTGAAACTGAGCAAAGAGACAGTACATCAATCAAATGAATGTATAATTAATTTAATAGAGGCATGACTACTTATGTATTTACTACGGTTACACGGGATATATATGTATTTACAAACACATAGACATCAATGAACAATACAATAAGACATCAATGAACGAGAAATGCGTAAAGTTTGGACAATGGATAACTTACACGCGTGAGCGAGTAAGAGAGAGTAGGAGGGGGAGAGAGAGAGAACATTGGCAGAATTCCTCCTAAGACATTCACCTCTCCGATTACAACACGAAACATCATCTTAAAGCTTCTTAGAAGCTCTATAAAGAGATTATAATGGCACAAGTTATGTTATGGTCTCTCTGTGTCGAGGCATTCCTGTACGGCCCTGTCTGGCCACGTGAGCTGAGTCCTTTGGGTGTGAGGAAGCGTCACGTGGGCTGCTTGGCGCGCGTGTTGAACGGAGGTTCAAAGTCTTTGGGGTAACATTACCAAAGGGAAATAGTTCGGCTAAGTTCGTTTCACTTCATGGAAGTGAACTGAGTCAACTACGGAAAACAAAACTTTGACTAACAAAAAAGAAATAAAGATCTCTACGGGGAAATCACGCGGAGTTAACGTTACATCTTTGCATGGCTGGTGAAGAAGCGCGTGCGTCGCTCGGTCCGGCGCGTCACGTGGTCACGTGCGCGTGTTTCTCCTTCAAAGCGAGCGCGCTCGTTTAAAGGTCCCTTGTAGATGGATTTGCTGAAGAGATATGTCACGCGGTTTTCTTTTCACTCGTCGATTGGAATTAAACACGGAGACTTATCTACAACTGAAAAACACAAACGAAACTAGAAACAAATAAAAAGAAAGGCGAAGAGCTCGCCCAGAGGCGAGACGTTAAATTATGACACGAGGACAAGAGTAAGCGAGAGACTTAAGCCTGCGGTTTGTCCTTTTGAAGACCTGACGTTTCCGCCTTCTTTTGGAAGAGGGTTCAATCAGGAGCTGTCCCTTTGGAGAAAGATTTTATGACCCTTTGTGTTATAACCAGGCATTTAAATCTCTAGTTTCATTGGGTGTTTAAGAGAAGAATCTTCACAATTCTTATAATACTAATGTGTCACAAAGTTTAGCAAAACGTAATGTCAATTAACAAATGGGGAACGAAGATTGGAGTTTATCGAGACCAAACTTGCCACAAATGGATTTGGTTAAACCTTAGTTGGCAAAGTTTGAAACATTATCCGATTAGAGTTGTCGAGAAACATAGACCAAACCACAGAAAGGCAACTCATGAAATAGGGGACTTAGATACATTGTTCATACAATTCTCAAGTGGATATATAATCATATATATACACTCACCGCCCACTTTATTAGGTACCCCATGCTAGTAACGGGTTGGACCCCCTTTTGCCTTCAGAACTGCCTCAATTCTTCGTGGCATAGATTCAACAAGGTGCTGGAAGCATTCCTCAGGGAGTTTGGTCCATATTGACATGATGGCATCACACAGTTGCCGCAGATTTGTCGGCTGCACATCCATGATGCGAATCTCCCGTTCCACCACATCCCAAAGATGCTCTATTGGGTTGAGATCTGGTGACTGTGGAGGCCATTTTAGTACAGTGAACTCATTGTCATGTTCAAGAAACCAATTTGAAATGATTAGAGCTTTGTGACATGGTGGAAGTAGCCATCAGAGGATGGGTACATGGTGGCCATAAAGGGATGGACATGGTCAGAAACAATGCTCAGGTAGGCCGTGGCATTTAAACGATGCCCAATTGGCACTAAGGGGCCTAAAGTGTGCCAGGAAAACATCCCCCACACCATTACACCACCACCACCACCAGCCTGCACAGTGGTAACAAGGCATGATGGTTCCATGTTCTCATTCTGTTTACGCCAAATTCTGACTCTAACATCTGAATGTCTCAACAGAAATCGAGACTCATCAGACCAGGCAACATTTTTCCAGTCTTCAACTGTTCAATTTTGGTGAGCTCTTGCAAATTGTAGCCTCTTTTTCCTATTTGTAGTGGAGATGAGTGGTACCCGGTGGAGTCTTCTGCTGTTGTAGCCCATCCGCCTCAAGGTTGTGCGTGTTGTGGCTTCACAAATGCTTTGCTGCATACCTCGGTTGTAACGAGTGGTTATTTCAGTCACTGTTGCCCTTCTATCAGCTCGAACCAGTCTGGCCATTCTCCTCTGACCTCTGGCATCAACAAGGCATTTCCGCCCACAGAACTGCCGCTCACTGGATGTTTTTTCTTTTTCGGACCATTCTCTGTAAACCCTAGAGATGGTTGTGCGTGAAAATCCCAGTAGATTAGCAGTTTCTGAAATACTCAGACCAGCCCTTCTGGCACCAACAATCATGCCACGTTCAAAGTCACTCAAATCACCTTTCTTCCCCATACTGATGCTCGGTTTGAACTGCAGGAGATTGTCTTGACCATGTCTACATGCCTAAATGCACTGAGTTGCCGCCATGTGATTGGCTGCTTAGAAATTAAGTGTTAACGAGCAGTTGGACAGGTGTACCTAATAAAGTGGGCGGTGAGTGTATATATGAATACAGGATTCATTTCTCCTCCTTGGTTAGAATTCAGAGAGAGCCACAGTTCTGTGAACATTCCTTTGGGTCGTAAACAGAGCCTATTTTGTATTGAAGTTTATGGGAAGTCTAGTTTATTTCCCCCAAAAGTGGGCGTGAACCTTTTCAGAGACATTCTATGACGCAGCGCCGGTTGTGCGTATGTAGAGAGGTTTAGATAAAGGGGTCGTTTGAGTGATTAATTATCAGTATTTAACCTGACGAAAATGTATTTATTCAATGTTGTCCACATTATATTGCATCTGCAGCAGCATTGTGAACTTTTGCAAAGATACGTTTAGCCATTAACTTTTAAATGCATTATTATATTCAAATTCCAAACACATGAGGAGAGTCTCCGCATGAAAGACCCATGACTGGCAGATGAACGTGCGACAACAATTCTCTCCGAAATGGTAAGAAGTTATTTAAGATTGAATGGAGGATTTTTACTGTGACGAGATGATTGGGCAGTTTACGGTGATAGGATGCACGCGACAGATCTGTCCGTTAATGATGACGAAGTAGTGTGTCCCAAAGCTTGCCTACTCTTTTGCTACACACTCAAAAGTATGTACTTTTTCTTCACAAAAAGAGTACATACTTTTAGGGCGTAGTATAAGTAGGCGAATTGGGACGGTCAGGAGTAAAGATAGTTTGCGGTTTGATTTTCAGTTTTCGTTTCGCTGTGGTCCCGCAGTGCGGTGTCGTGGACATGCAAATAATATCTCACGTCGTTATTCATGATTTGTGAATTTGTGTAACAGTGTTTCTCCTGGTCAAAATCTTTTTTTTTTCTTTTTTTTTTAATTGGGTATAGCTCCAAAAGTCGGTCACTTAGGAGTCTGAACCCAGTGTCACCTTGACATGCTCGATTTGTGAATTTCTTCACAGCAAAGCTCTTGTCTGTAAAACGTTCGCTAAGTCCGGTAGACAGGAATGTTGAAAATAGGCGTTTTTCATGTTTAAACAATGGATATTAACAATTTATAATAAACACACAGTGCTGGATTACAAAAACACTTGTTTTAGATTGAACCTGATTTGTGAAAACTTTCACAGGTCAGTTTGGGCCAGTTAACCCTTCCCTGAGTGGTTAACTTGGTCATTCTGATTTGTGAAAACTTTCACAGATTGTGAAAGTGCTATATTGAGTAACTTAACGGCTCTATTGAGTAACAGCTAAAGTTAGCTCAGCTTAGCTAAAAGTGCCCCCCCCCCCCCCCCAGTTTTCTGTTCCATGTGTCGCAAGTTCGTAATATTGAAATCTATTTGTAATTTTTATTGTAGGCCCTATCAATTGGCCACAGTCTTTGCATTTTTTTTACTCCTTTCTGACATTTTAGAAATGGAAAGATAACATTACCCCTATGCAGGCTCTTAAAGGGGTCATATAATGGTACATGCACTTTTACAAGATGATTGTACTGAAATGTGTTAGCATGTGTTAGCATTAACTGACCCACACTGATCTGTGAAAGTTTTCACAAATCAGAATGACCAAGTTAACCACTCAGGGAAGGGTTAACTGACCCAAACTGATCTGTGAAAGTTTTCACAAATCAGAATGGCCAAGTTAACCACTCAGGGAAGGGTTAACTGACCCAAACTGATCTGTGAAAGTTTTCACAAATCAGAATGACCAAGTTAACCACTCAGGGAAGGGTTAACTGACCCAAACTGACCTGTGAAAGTTTTCACAAATCAGGTTCAATCTAAAACAAGTGTTTTTGTAATCCAGCACTAGTAATGGGGGTCCCGGATTGATAGGTTGAGCAATAGGATTTGCAATCGTGATAATATTCGTCAAAACATAGTAATGTTATTACTTAACTGTATCATGCTATTAATAATAAACTCAACATTTTGAATGTTACGCACCTAATCAACCCCATGCATCACCTAACAATATACTTCACCTAATCGATGTTTACAAATGTATCCTCTAGCGCATCTCATAACACCCGACGTCTCGTGAACACTTTCAGTGGTGATTAAGATCTCTAGTGCTCCACTAACATCAGTAACCAGACAGACTCCAGACAGTGCCTTTGAATATGCTTTAATCACGGCTGGGAGGATCTCACACATTTCAGAGAGAATCCCCCCAGCAAGAAGAGTACAGGAGATTATATAGGATAGGTACAGTAAAGGTAACATGACATATCACTCAACATCATCACACCATTTTTCTCTAATATGATTGGTTCAACATGTGCAAATTCAGAAACCCCTTTCTCTGTTACTGTCAACGCAAACTTAGATCTACCCAAAACATAAGGTTGTTAGTTTGTTGATTACTCAATCTGTCATGGGACTATTATATTTCAGTAACTATAATAGCCGTGTCCTTAATTTTAGTTTTTTTAAAACATTGTCAAAGTATCTTGTAGACTAGAAGTCAAACTAAAGTACATTTTTAATCTGATGTCTGAACAGTATAATTGACAACCGCTGGATATATATCGTAAAGAAATACATTTGATCAAATAATTGTGTATGTGAAACTCAGGTGTTAATTAATGTGGAATATGTTGGAAAGAAGGAAAGGATGCTGGCGATCTCAGATTGCTGTGAGTGTCAGCGATAAAAGAGAAGCACGGCTGCATCAGTAATCTCTTTAGAAGTGCTCCATCCCACATTAGTGCCATATCCGTCCCAGTCGAATCCCGCAAAGTCCCCGCACTGCCTAGGGGACTCAGGAAAGTGTCCACCTCCACCAATACAGAACTGCAACAATAGGAGGACATTACTAACAAGACATGCCTATGCACTTCTTAATATGACATTGGTGCAGTTGATTTGTTTGCATTGTAAATGTATCAATTTTACAAATGCTGTCCATAGACAGTGATTTATAAATAATCCAGAATATTATGTTTACTCACATGTTCAGTGTGGCAGCCGGTTGGTTTGACACCTGAGCAAAGAGCACTGGCGGCCCTTTCAACATTGAAGACTCTGAATGAGATGAATCCAGGCTGAGAAATTGCTGGGAAAATGCACAGAATATACAGTATCAGTGATGATAATCTGTCAATATACGTCCATGAACACATGACATGGCTTTCATTCATTAAAGTGATTGGATCTCAACAATGAAGATGCCTTGTACACCATCACTTAATAATACACAGATTTTCAGACACTGTCGACCATTGAAGCCACTTTCATTCAAAATATTTGAAAAAAAATATTGACTCAAGGGGTTTTGCCAGGCTGTTGTTGTAAATAAGAATTTGTTTTTAAAAAAAGAGCCATACCTCTAGAATGGGGACCATAGAGATTTCTGTTGTACTCCGCATTTCCGTTGTCATACACTACTGGAATAACAGGTCCATTATCAGTGATGCATGCCCCTATGCCAAACCTCACCGGGAATTTCTGGGGGGAAAAACAAAAAAACGGAGTTATTGTAATTTCCCAATTGTTGTATTTCTGTGAATGTTTCAAACTCAAAAATGGTGTTGAACGTTATCTGACCTTGAATAAATTGTAAAGGTTTCCCCCGTGGAGAGTTAGGAAGTGATTTTCGGTGTGGTATCGCAGGATGGAGGAAGCGCTCCAGGATTCCACCTCCATATTATTAGGAACGTGCCACACGGACACATCTTGTGCTGGGATGTCAAAGTATCCAGGATTCTGTGACAGAAGGGAAACAGACTATCGTTTCAGATTCTACAAAAACATCCTTTGATCATTATACTCGTGTCACTCTGTTCCTTCTATTTAACTATTGCTGTAAAACCATGAATGTAATAAAAACACCTTATAATCATCACTTGTAGAGGCGTCTGCAGTTCCAAATATGACCGTGTTTGCCCATGTCCCTTCACCATCAGGCCGGTTCGGTTCACTGCCCTGCTGACTAGACCAGCGATCACCAACAGTGCACTTTCCGTACATGTTGTTCTCATGAACACTGGCGACCAGCGTCCAGCCTCCGCCCGCAGTGGTCATATCACAGAAGGTCTGGTACAGGACGCCTCTGGAGGAGTTCAGATAGTACAGGCCATCTAACAACAAAAGCATCATGAGTCACTTCACAACAGTTGTTGCTTAAGATCAAATATTAACATAAAATGAGCGTACCATCATTAACATGATACTTTTTCTGAAGTTCTTTGCAGCTTCGAGCGGCATATGCTTTCTCAAGATTGATATCAGCCGGTTTAATATCTGATGCTTCTTGTTGATCCACTGCAATGTAAGACAAAGGTGTAGTGGAATATATAGTAATACAATTTTTTTGATTTTCAACATTTTAAGATAAATTCATTTCAATCAAAAAAATGTATAGTATACTTCTTACTTACAAATTATTACACTTGCAGTCTCACAGAGCCATAGATTCAGTGAGAGACTGAAAAGGATCCCGAAAAACTTTCTTGTAAGAAACATAGTCTGCAAACAAAAGGAGAAAAGCTTTTCACAATTACACTCAACACTAAACCCGAAACTCTTGTTATTGGTACCATGTTTCTGTGAAAGACTGCTTACTAAAATCAATAGGCAATACTTATATTTTGAAATTTAATTTATATGGCAAAGAATTCTTACGTTTGTTTCTTGTCTTGTGTTTCTCTCCTCAGAGTTGACGAGCTCTGTCAAGGCTTCTGGAGTCAGATAATAAAGCTCAGGCATACTTTCTATATTTATACTTACTCAGGAGTGGAATGAAGGAAAGGTAACAAGGCTAAGTTGAATGTGGTAAATAAGGGAAACCTGAGCCTAAGCGGAACAAGTGAATGTGTAAAACGGTGCTTTGGCTAAGAAAATAACATTTGAATGAGTTAACACCTAAATTAGATATTGATCTTTCATCAGGCTGTTATTGAATTAACATTTTAACTAAATTAAAACTATGGTTTAAAACAAATATGTTTGTCCGACCAATCTGTAAATCACACTGTGTCCACAATGTTGCTTGTGTTAAAAAAATATGAATCTAACTTAATACTTTTTTTAATAATTGAGCCAAAACCAAAATGTGTAAGGTTGTGCCTCGTGCTCCCCATAGACATCTGGCTCCCGTTTGCTTGTTCTTCCTTGAAAGATGATAACTTATTCAAATGTTATTTTCTTAGCCAAAGCGGATTAGATAAGACATTTATATTGATATAGATATTGATCTTTTATCATATGACAAAGGTACAGAATGTGAAACTGAGAAGGAAGAACAAGCAAACGGGAGCCAGATGTCTATGGGGAGCGCGAGGCACAACCTTACACATTTTAGTTTAAAAAAATGAATTAAGTTAAATTCATATATTTTTTTACACAAGCAACATTGTGGAAACAGTGTGAGTTACAGATTGGTCGGACAAACTGGACAAACATATTTCTAACTGTAAGGCTGGAAGCTTACGCTGCTATTTTGAACCAATAATCGGAACAAAAGGCAGTTGAAGAATGACGTGTATAATTCAAATATTAATCTGACTCCATTAAAGTTGTTATTCTTTAACCTCTTATTCTTTAAAGTTAAAGGTCTTTCTAAGAACTGATAGGAAAATGTAGGATTTAACCTGAACGTTTAAATAACAAAAGTTATAATCACTTTAGCTTTCGACATTATCGGTGAAAAAAGGAAAGATTCTCAAAGCATTTAAAGCAGGCAAAGTTATTTATTAAGTTACATCATTGAAAAGGAGGCTTTAGAGGGATGTGTAGGTGGCTGGCTTGAGACCAGTGGAGGTGTCAACAGTCTTGTCCAGTCACTTTAGTTACACAATGGCTTTTTTATTAGGCGTGTGTGTGTGTGTGTGTGTGTGTGTGTGTGTGTGTGTGTGTGTGTTTATAGTTCAATAACGCACACAAAGGAGGAGACACAACATTTCCAGGGATTCCTCCATGTGGCATGAACAAAGAAAAGGGCTGTGTGTACAGGTGCTGTCTAATGAAGTATGTGGCTGGTTGAGGCTAATTAGTTGAAGGAGTGGTGAACTGCATGGGGAACTGAGTGGCAAAGAAAAATGGGCGTGGCAACTGCAGGACAGAGAGGAAAACTTCCAAACAGCCGCCCCCAAATTTGCCTTGCAAATTTGCCAGAGTGAAAGGTCACGGGGGTTCAGGTAGGGCAGGGAGTGGGATGAGGTGGGCAACGGGTCTTGTGTACTGTTTGTCCCCCACCTGGACATCTGCAACCCTACAACGGCCGTCCTTGCCGGGAAATCACTTTACCTACTGGCCAGAGGGACCGGGGGAGCTGAGGGTCAAGAATGAGAACAACAGTGTTTAGTTGGAGGTTAGGATTATCAGTGCGCCACTTCTGTCTAGACTGGAGAGAAGGAAGATCATTTCTTAGGAAGTGGGCCCAAAAATGAATGAAGAGAATCTGACTATGACGCCACTGACGGCGGCTGCTCAGCTCATGCCGCCCCATGAGCAACAGGTTAGAAGTCACCGGATCAGGATCTGCAACGTCAGAAGAGACATAACCTAGGGGCTTTGAATTGAGGATACCCTCGGTTTCAATCATCACTGTGCGTAGCACTGGATCTAGTTCCGGGGCAAGGGAGAGAAGACGACTGGAATTTGGAAGGGGTTTGTGGGTCTGAAGGCATGCCAGATCATTTCCAAAGGAATCCAGCTGGGTCTGTCTTAGGATGGCAATCTCTGTATCGAGGTAGGTTGCTGCCGATGGTGTTGCAGGAGGCTCTGCCACCCCATGATGGGAGGCAGCGGTAGAGTCAAGGAGATCCTGGAAGGTGGTGAACTGGGTAGGGTCAGAGATGGAGGGATTTTGGCCAAGAAATACGGCACCACAGAAACTGGGCTTACGTAGCTCTACAGGATCTTCGGCCTGATTTCTTGTGGGGTTAGTTGGCCACTGGTCAGGGGGTTGCAAGGAGGAAGCTAGGTCCTTTGTTCCACCTGCAAGGCTTACTTGGATCAGACAGCTGCTTCCCTCTAGTCAGATCGTCAGCTGGGTTGTTCTGGGAATCCACATAGTGCCATTCCTGGCTTTTGGTGAGTTCCTGGATTTCAGCCACTCTGGTTCCAACAAAGACCTTATAGCGGCAGGAGTCTGAGAGAAGCCAATAGAGGACGGTGGTAGAGTCACTCCATAAAGTAGCCTGTCTGATGTTGAGGGTGAGCTCTGTTTGGAGGAGGTTGAACAGTTGAGCTCCAATGAGGGCTGAGCACAGTTCAAGTCGAGGGATAGATAGTTGTTTTTTGGGCGCAACACGGGACCTCGCCATTAGGAAGGACACATTCACCTGTTGACCATCTTCAGTGCGCATGTAGGCAACTGCGCCATAAGACTGCTCTGAATCGCAGAAGATGTGCAGGTCTTGGATGGCTGAGGGGTCGTCTACTGTCCAATGGATAAGACAACGAGGCAGTACTATTGAGGAGAGATTAGGGAGTTTTCCTTCCCAGGAAAGCCACGCTTCTAGGATGTTGTGGGGAAGGTTTGGGTCATCCCATTGTCTTGCCTTTGCCCACAGGTGCTGGACAATGATCTTGGCTCTTGTTGTGTAGGGGAGGATGTAGCCAAGAGGATCGTACTGGCTCACAATAACTCTGTAGATGTGACGCATGGTTGGAGTAGTAGCTTCAATGGCTCAGTGCCTGTATTTCAGGGTGTCCATATGGCAATTCCAGTGGAGGCCTAGAGTAGATTCCATGGGATCAAGGGAAGGATGGTGTGACAGCCAGAGCTCTGCCTGGTCTGACCTAGCATCGGGAGAGAGATCACAGATGACCTTGGGGTCATTACTGGCCCATTGTCTAATCTCAAAGCCACCAGAGGAGAGGGTTGCACGCATGCAGTGAAGGAGGTCTTTAGCTTCCTCTGGTGTGGGGAGACTTTGAAGGTAGTTATCCACATAGAAACAATGCTGTATGGAATAGGTAATGCGCTCATCTGCCTGTGCATCCATGGCGATCCTCTGGAGGGCGTAAATGGCACAGCATGGGCTGGCGGTAGTGCCAAATGGGATGACTTGCCATTCATATACAGTTGGAGGGGATCTACTGTCTAGGTCACGCCAGAGGAAGCGCAGGAGGGGCTTATCTCGGGGTAGCAGGCGCACCTGGTAGAACATGGGACTTAACGTCTCCGCTGATGGCAATCCTATGCTGCCTGAAACGGAGGAGAACTCCAAGGAGGGAAGGCCCAAGGGTTGGACCAGGAAGTAATTGTGAATTCAGGCATTGATTATGATAGGACAAAGAACAATCAAATACAATGCGGTCCTTTCCATTATGACGCACAATGTGATGAGGTATGTACCAAAACTCAGGAGCATCTGCTACTTCAGATAAGGTTAACTTCTTGACATACCCAGCATCAACTAACTTCTGGATCTCTCTGGTATAGGTCTCCGCCTGTGAGGGGTTTTGGATCAGTCGCCTCTCACAGCTGCGGAGACGGGACATAACGGCTTCCTTAGGGGCCTTTAGGGGGGGCCAGGGATCTGCTCGGAGGAGAGGTGTGACATACCGTCGGACGTCATCAACAGAAATTCAGATGGTTTGAGTCTCAAGCTGGTGAATTGCATCTTGGTCCTGTTTAGAGCGGACAACCAATTTTGTGTTCCTCGGAGGTACTGTGTCCAGCTGCCACAGTTTTTGCACATTGTGGTGGATGTCATCAGGTGGGCATTTAAAGGAGATATAGTGACACTTGGTGGAGGGAGAGCTAACAATATATCTAGCAGGGCCCTGTAACGTCCAGCCGAGACGGGTTTTGATTGCTACAGGGGCTCCGGGGGGGCCTAACTTTACAGGCAGTGTTGGAGTGATAAGGTGGGTATGATCAGCTCCTATGAGTAGAAGGGGGCTTACGTTATCATGCTGCTTCAAGGGAATCTAACGGAGATGAGTGTAGCGCGATGAGTGTAGGAGGGATTTCACAGAATGAGAATGTTCGGATAAGGAAAGCTGATCAGCAGTGAAGGCATGCCTGATGGCATAGGATTTCTCTGGATGGGCCTTTGGAATGAGGGTGAAGGACACGGCTGCACCATTTAGAATCTGGACATCCTGTTTCACAGTCCTCAGCTTCAGGCTCTCAGACTCTCCTACCAACTGGAGTTTCTGGGCGGCAGGATACAGGAGGATCGTACGTTCTGACCCATCATCCAATATGGCATACGTGTCTAAGGACTTGTTTCCATTACGTAGGGTCACTTCAACTACCTTCAGCAGCACTTTATAGCAATCGCTAGGATGGTCTAGGTAGAAATTCTGCACTTGCCTCTGGTTGATGTTGCATAGGACCTGCAGATGTTTCCCATTGCATTGGTTGCAGTGTCCCTTCAGATCACACTGGTCTGCGAAGTGGTCTCGTGCACACCGCCAGCAGCGTTTTGTCCTTTGATCCAACTAGTTCTCTGATCTTCAGTGAGCTGGAGGAAGTCATCACATTTACTGACATGATGTTCAGGAGAGTTACAGTAAGCACACCCTGGACAGCGTGTGGCTGTGGTGTTGGGGGGAAACTGACTGGCTCTAGAAGGAGCTATCAGGACTTTAGGGGAGGTCATTTGGGAAGTCTTGCTACCATGAAGTATAGCTGTAGCTCTGAATGGGTGAGAGGGTGGTGGCCTTGGTCGGACAGGCTGAAGGGTTCTCTCCCTTCTGGGCTGGCAGCGGGTTTCCTGTTGC